AAGCCCCAAACCGCAGTCAAGTCCGCGGGCCAATTGCTTGATAAGGACATGATCGCAGCCACCACCTCCACGCCCTGGTCCTCAGTGATCGCTCGTGAACTCATGGCGTAACATGGCATAACCCAAGCAAGATTGTCGCCAAAAGACCATCAACCAGGCATACATGATCGCGGTGACCGTGGTGGCTCTGTGATACCCAGCCGAGCAGTTGATCAAGACCAAGATGGCAGGAGAGCTAAACAACCGCCACATAACGCGAGTTGTGTTGGGATTCCGGAGCACCTAAGATGCTAAAACATGATCAATGGTTCAAGACCCCGCAAAACATGTGAATCAATGGTTCAAGACACCGAACACGCACTCCAAGACTCACAAAAAAATGCAGCCAAGCATCGCTTTCCCGCACCTTGGCCACCAAGCCGCAGTGCTTCAAGATGGATCGATCAATGGCGGCGCGGTCATGCTCCTCGCTCCTGGGCATGTGGGTTCTCAGCAGGAATAGCCATGTAAGTATGTGTCAGTCAACAACCAACAAATGACAAGAAAGTGCGCAAGCAAGTAAGTCAAGGTCAATTGAACATCAATAAGCGCAAGCAATACACTCCAGCATCCAACACAAATTGTGGCACTGAACTGAAATGTGGTCCGCCGCTTCAAAGATGATGTCTTGAGGACGGTCAACGACGCTGCCGTTTGGAAGGTGGGCCTGGGCCTTAGAAGACACGGTAAGAGCTGCAAGCCCGTGGCATGAAAACGCAACCTGATCAGAATGAAGATACCATGGGCATGCGTCTGAAATCTTAATGTGAACCAAGCAGCTCTCGTCCTCATCCCTTTGATGGGCCAAGCGAGAATGGCGACCTTTCGTGGCCAGCGAGGCACGCTCCACGTATTTCCAGTGCAAGCGCCCGCCATAGTTGTACGCGCGGCCGCTCTCCAATTCACCAATCCCCAGATCCAGTGCCACTACACCACAACTCGTGCGCAACTATGACACAAGCGCACAAAGCAATGACACAAGCTTGCAGTTGCAATGCATGGGTTAGCAAAGTTGTTCCAAGCTACGCCTGATCGCACAGATCAGGATCCAGCTTCCACCTTGAAATGTTTGCAATGCGGAATCCATGACAGTTGGCCAATGAATGATCTCAGTTGGCCACTCATGTGTCATCATGTGTCCACTTGCAGCAAAGGTACAGCAGAAACAAAGTCTGCTGGCCAGCGCGATCCAGCTGCAAGGCGATCTTCAAGTACTTCTCCGGCAGCTGTGCCACCGCTATGGAGTTGGAGGGCACGCAGGCAGAAAAATTGAATCTGATGAGTTGAATCTGACTTGAAGCTGAGGGTTGAAAAGCTTGAAATTGAATCTTCTCATCGGCTGAAGAGTGAATCTGATCTGACTGTGATTCGATCTGCAAATGACATTTTATCTGATCTGACTGTGAGTGCGGCAAGTTGAAGGTCAGTGTGAAGGCTAGTTACTAGTTGAGTGTGGTAACAAGTTGAGTGTGGCAACTGCTTGATGTGCTCCCTCTGAGGGTATGAAGGCCGCCTTCATTTGATCCACAAAGGGCCATGGATCGGTGGTTGGCAAAAACCAGGAAACATTAAATGAATCAAATTCCTGTCATGACATCAAATCCAAGAAACAGTCACGATATAAAAATACTCGGAAACCATGGATCAGAATCAGAATCGGTGAGTGAATCCACCCGCAGCCCAAAAGTTAAAACCTTAAAGGTATACACGCGCGATCAACAAATGACAGAACACGACGACACATCCTTGCAGCACAGGTGCAGCAAGTCGAAGGTATGTTGAGGACCTGGCTCGGTTGACTTGAAATGTCAGTTTATTTGTTCATGTCCACTGTCAGTCATGACAGAATGGTGGACCGCCTTCTAGTGACACAGTGGCATGGGACGACATGGGAGTTGCACAGCAGATTTAGCAACAATGTGAGATAGAAAGACATGTGAGCATGTGAACGTTAAGAATGTGAAATTATTGAACGAGTGATTGAATGTGAATGTGAATGTGAATGTGATTCAGAAACAGCGAAACTTCTCACAGGGCGCCCACTTCAATGGGTCAGGACTCTGCCTGAAAAAGTATTAATTAGGGACTCCATTTCAGTGGACCATTTTGGTGAGGATGAGTCAATCACCAGCGATTGACAATTACTGTGAATCCTTCAAAGATCTCAACCTCACGTGAGCAGCTATCATTTCGCTGAGCTCCGTTCAAAAATTGATACTCGCAATCGACTTTATCATTGTGAGTTCAACTGTGTGAACCAAGAATTGATGATGTCATTCATCACTTGACCAAAGGACCACACACGGGCTTGATGGGACTTGAAATAGTCGTTCAAACAGTGGTTGCCTCTTGGTGAAGTGAAGTCCAATGACAAAAAACATCCTGCCGCCTACTCTGGGTTACAGTCAACAGCAAAGAACCTGCAAAGCGACTGTGTGTACTGCAGGATTTCCTCCAGACTGGTCCTGAACAACTCCAGGCGTAGTAGTACAGGTCTCCTCTGATTTGGGTCGTCAAGCACTTCCTCAAGGAGCACGATAAACTCGTTGACATCCTGAGTCCAAAGATTATTTAATTCAGATGGTCGAACACGTCAAACACATGAATTGTCAATTCAAATCTCAAGTTCTTACTTATTGAACATTTTTACTTTGAAAACTTGCAGCCAAGACTCTTTCAAACCAAAGAAAGTTTCAGCGTGCAAGCTTTGGATTTGGAGTTGAACATATACCTCAGGTGGCTCAAAAGGAAACAGAGCCAACAATCCAGCTGCTGCACGGACGAGCAAGCCACGAGTGACAAGGAAACCCTCGAAACAGGATGTTCAACACGTTCTCAACAGTGGCGATCACAGTCTACTAAGTCATTGAAGGAGTCAATAGAACATGTGACTACTACTACACAGTGACAAAGGTGGAAGTACTGCACCACTGTCATCTGGCAAGGAGCAATAGGTGGAGGTGAGGTTGCATATCCTGATCCCCATGCTCCTGATGCTCCCTGCGCTCCCTGTGCTACCGATCCCGACATTGCCCGCGAATATCAGCGAATGGTTCAATGATTCAATCAATGTATCTATGGAGTCTTTGTTTTTTGTTTGTGTTCCCTGTGTTGCCTTTGCCTGTACTCTTCTGTTTTGATGAATTATGTTACTCTTTGGCATCAATCATTCATTCACGCTTAGCTATCAGTTGTTTCCTTGATGATCCACAATTATGTCCTCCTTCCGGCCAAAAGATAGGCAGAATAGTAAATTGACATTTTTACAACTGGCATGAGTTCGATAGCTAATCTTGAAACTGACTATGAACATGAAGTTGCAGCTGATACTGACTGATCTGACTGAATCTGACTGATTGACAAATCATGCCAGGTGCACGTTGGAGAAACCCAGGTCGATGTAGAGGTCCACCAACCACCCAGCACCCCAGGTCCACCAGCCACCCACCACCCAGAACGCTCCCCAATGCCTCATGGTAAGTTATGATGATCGCGCAGAACGTTTGTTCATCGAATGGCCCATGATAAACTGAACAAGTCAACCAAAAGTTCAAAACCACCCAGAACGCACCCCAACCCCCGATGGTAGGTGGCTGCACGTTTGTTCATCGAACGGCCCATGACAAGTTCTTCTTCCTCCCCCTCTGCTTTAGCATCTAATATTCTGACAGCATTTTCTTCTTCTTCCTCCCCCTCTGCTTTAGCATCCAAATCAAAGGTGAATAAGAAAACTGAGAGCATCTTCATCTTCTTCCTCCCCCTCTTCTTTAGTATCAAAAGCAAAATAATACGCGTCATCTTCTTCCTCCCCCTCTTCTTTAGTATCAGAATCAAAATCATTAGCATCAGAAACAAGAAAACTGAGAGTCAAAAAAAGTGAGAGTCTTTTTTGCAAGCCCCTCTGATAACTTTGATTCTCATGGGAGGCTTTACTGAACCTGATACACAAGGTTCTACAACAATCATCGCCTCTGATGTGCTACAAGAGCTGAACGCAGGAAACTTCTTAGCCAGAAGGAGCTTGTAAGATATGCAAGCGCCCACAGAACAGTATTGGGGATATAAAGTGATGTTGAAGGCAGCTACAGATGGAGCAACGCCATCAGAAGGACCATTGAACAAAATGTTCAAAATAGGGAACAGAGAGATATCAATGAGAGACCAATACAGCGCAGAGCAGGCAAGCCAATTATGTGGTCGATTTGAAGCAAAGCTTGGGCTCCTCCCTGAGTGTGGACAAAACGAAGCAGCAGATATGGTAGAGAAAGAGATGGAGAAGTATGAGGAATTGCTAGAATGTGCAGTCACGAGGAGAAACTGTCCAAACAGACAACAAACAGAGATTTCATCAATCTCTAGGAACACAGTTGCTGAGAGAACAGACCGTTCACAGCAAGAAAGAGAAGAATGAAATGGAAGAAAATGGACGATGGTGGCAAAGTGAGCCCAAAGTGGCATTTTAGGGTCGCACATTGCCAAGAAGGAGCGCAAACCATTTTCAGTGCAACTCATAGGATAGATGTATTGCGTGACTGACATCACAGATTGTACAGTTGAACGTACCTCAGCCCCTTTTGAGTATCAAGAAAAGGCCCGTATCATATCATATGTATAGCAAATTATGGACAGCGTATGTGTTTTTAAATATACACACCTAGAATAATTCAACGGCCATTTTCGCTTATGCGCATATGTTTACCGTATGTTGTCCTTGGGTATCTGCGTGCTTCTGGTCGCTGCACTAAGTTGCATGACGGGCTCCTGTTTTACAAGCCGCCGGAGCCAAAGTTGCACAGCGCCTGGCAGTAGAAGCTGAGACGGTTTTCAGGTGGTGGAAAGTTGGCAGGAAGCTCAGATGGGTTCCAAGATGTTCCCTTACAGGTTTTCTATTTGCGTACAGTCTTGCTTGAGAAAGATGCCTTTAGGAGAAGAAGACAATCAAGGTGGACCGCAAAAAGGGGATGAAGCTTGGCATAGAAGCCAAACTGGACGATAAGGCCTGAACTCTGGAGTTTTTGCATTTTCATAGATGTGGATGTTGATCAGATGTAGCGCCAGTTGCATGTCCATGGCTTGTTGTGTATATGTTTGCGTAGCTGCATGTTTCGCTGCAGCCGTTGAGTCAGGTTTGAGTGAAAAGTGTGCCTAAGATCCGTGATCACAAACATCAATTGCAGAGAAGCCGGATAGCATCAGTCCTGGCTAGCAAGCCACAATGGCGCTGCCGCCAGTGCAAGGAGCGCCGGGTCAGCCTACGCGCAGCAAGTGACACAGATGATGCAAGCGCCAGCGCAAGGGCAGAACCAGCTACGACAAGCAATGTCGGCGCGCGCGCGCGCAGCAAACGGCCATCGCACCGAACATTGCAACCAGCGTGGAAGTGCGTCTTCTCATTCACCAGTGCGCTCTGGTGTGCGCTGCCAAGGATGGTCTCCCATCCAGCCTCAGTCAAGGCATAGCAGCTGACCACATTCAGCTTGATCCTAGCTATCTTCATCGCTACATGGACTTTGCCCACCATGAACTCTAACTCTACCATGCCTGAGGTGGGAGTTGGTACAAGTCCAATTCATGGAGCACGTCGTGGAATAGTTCATGGGCCAAGAATGATTGCTACAAGAACGACTGGAGCAAGAGTATAGTTGGAGCAACAAGAGTTCCAAGGGTAAAGGCAAAGGCGGCAAGGACAGAGACTCTAAAGGTAATGGCAAGAATAAAGAGTAAGAAGGTGGCAACAGTTGAGGATTCTGAAGCATCTGTGGCTGAAAAGCATCAACTTGAGCCCGCGCATTCCGCTGACATCGGCGCTCTCTTTGCCCTAGAGATGGAGAAAGAAGCGCCCGCATCCATTGCCTAGGAAGCAGCCAAGGCTGAGGCTAAGGCAAAGGAAGGCCATTGTAGCCGGAAACCAGGCAGTCTTGGAACGATTGGAAGAGATGAAAGAGCTCCATGCAGCATTCTGAAAAGGTGCATGCTGAAGAGGCCAACCTCCGGGCGCCCTGATGTGGCGTCGGGCATGGACCCATGTCTGGCGTGCAAGAAGACGTATTGAAAAGCGAGCTCGATTTCAAGGGTACTGGCCGCTTGCGTGCGTGGGGCGACGATGATCAGGAGGAGAAGTATGAACCGCCGCGCAGCCGGGCAAAGGCTCCAAGACACCTGGCAAGACACCTAAAGATCAAGGTTGAAGAATTGTGTCTGGACTGGGAGTGCTTGAAGCGGAATTCCATCCTTGTATGCTGCGTTTGGGGGGCACACCAAAAAACAAACATATTGGAGATATTGTATGACTACGATTTTAGTGGCAGTGCCTAGTGTCCCGCCTTGGAACCTGGCTGGTGTTGGTTTGTTTGCGTTTTAGTTTTTGCAATTTGTTCCCAACAGCAGAATGCAGTTGGGTTTCAATTTTCATTCTCTGGGGCTGGGAGGGGTGCGCAGCTTGTCGCCCGCCCAGGATTCCATGCATTGAGCAGTTGTCCATTGTTCAACAGCAGCAGAACACAGAAGATCATCAGCCCATCTTCATATGAAGCAGAACCAAGTGCGCAGGATGAAAAGTCATGGTATGCCACGCGCGCCAAAAGATATTGAAGAGCGACAACGACAGGCCTTTGGAACCAGCGCGTGGCGCCAAAGAGTGGCGCCTACGCGAGAAGATTCTCAAGGCGTCCAAACAGCGACAAGGAAGCCCTACCCCGAAAGCGGCGCCGTCGCACGCGGCTGACCTGGACATGGCCACTCGTTCAGCGCAGGCCGCTGAATTTCTCAAGACGTGACCCCAAAGTGGGAAACAGACAAGAAAGGATCGCCTCACTATATGACGTCCCAGCTGCAGAAGACGATTGCCGATCAGGACGAAAAGGATGAAGACGGCCCAAAGACGCCTATGGAGAGCTTCCGTTCCGGCTGCCTCCAGGTCCAAGAAAGGCCGTGAAAAAGGCAAGAAGGTGCGCTTGACTCGCGCAGTCAGTGCTGCTACAAAGGGCGCATCCCGCGAGGCCAAGAAAGGCAAGGGCAAGCGATCCTACGGCGCTCTGGCGTTGAGGAGCTTGGAGAGTTCCCATGACTTTTGCCTTGACTCTTCGTCTCACCCGGCGCCATGCTGGGTAAGTCCGGCAGCGGATGACTCAGCTTCTACAATTGGCAGAGGAAGCTGACCTTGGCGAAGAGAGGAGACTCCTTTTATCGTGGTGTGGCGCAGGGCAGACCTGACTCATCAGCGCACAAGGGAATGGAACATGCTGAAACGATTGGCGCGATATGTCAGGTAACGACCAAGAGTTGCGCGGCTGTTTCCAATCTAGAGCGCCCGCAACCCCTTCAACATGTGGTCTGTCAGACGCCGTTTTACGCAGGATGCATAAGAAGGGCACGAAAGAGTGGCCAAAAAATGCTGTATCACAACCTACAGCAAAGGCCGAGGAGTTGTCTCCCTTAGCAGTGGCGAATCTGATGTGGACTTGTTTCTGGGGCATGTCAGATTTTTTCACCAACAAAGAGGTGGCAATGGGCGCTTCCGCTGGCATAGCCATGGGAAACCGTCGAGGTTGGGACGATCCAAGCACGTTGACACTCAGATCCATGGGTGCAAGCGCGTGCTGCCAAGAAAGAGTACCGCCTCAAGAACAAAGGCGCCGACTGAATGCTGGCCGATGTGCTGACGAAAGCTGTCGCCAAGGAAAGGATGAACGCTGCCATGAAAGGCATGAACTTCCAACACTTGGAAGGTGAGCACGAACTCATGCCAAGAGCTTGAACTGAGCCAGAGTAGGTACTTCTCAGTCAGGAAGATGTACTGAAGCTCTACTAGCTAATTCACTCATGTGCTAACCCTGGCTTGCTTAACTTCATTCTGGGAGATATTAAACTCGGGAGGTGTGATCAGATGTAGCAATGTAGCACCAGTTACATGTCCATGGCATGTTGTGTAGATGTTTGTGTAGCTGTATGTTTCACTTCAGCCGTTTTGCTTACTTTGGTTGACTTAGAGTTTGAGTGAAAAGTGTGCCTAAGCGCTGAACCTATCCTTTGGTAAGCGCCGTGTTGCAAAGTGCTCAATTTGAACTTGGATGAGCTTGGTGATTCTCCCATACGAATCAGAGCACAGGTACTGTGACACAGGGTCATTACGTTTGTAAGCCGAAAATCTCCGTTCAGATGTGGTTGCTATCAGCAGAGAACAATTCGATTTCATGGGTTCAGATAATTAAAGATATGCGCATGTTTGACGTCTAAATTTGCTTTGCCAGACATCATTCTTTGTAGTCCATTTTTCGCGTTGGAACGGAATCACCACGCCTAGCCATCTTGTCTTTGATGAGACAGCCTCCAGCTTTTGATTTCAGCATCCATTGACAGCGGTTTATTTGTTATTGCCTCTGACTGAATAGGCCTGATAGTAAGCTTGACTTACAGTGCTTACAACCCACAAAAGCCCAGCCTCTTGCTCTTTCTCATACTGTTCTTTGTGACTCATATGGTTCTCTGTCCCCATTTCCGTTCAGCCACTGCGCATCGCATGAATGAGACCTTAAACAAAGCGTGGGCGATAACCCTGGCGAAGATTCTGCTTCCAGACTGAAACGTAGCGGCGTAACGCTCAACAAGAGTCCTGACAAGCTCGAGTAGGGACAGGTTTAGAATTTACATGCAGGAAAATGGGCATCGTTGCTGCGAAAGAAGCGCGTAGTTGCTGAAAAAGGACAGAACTTCAGGTCTGGTTCATGTGACCTTCACCGCCGCAAGTGCTTGGAAAAGAATTTGGTCGCACAGCCTCTAGAATCTCCAAGCACCCAATCGAGGTTCAGAACCAAGGTTGGAATGTCGGAGGAAATGCAAATAGGGGTCTTTTGATGGTGGATTCAAGGGAAGTATATAGTGCCGATTGAAGCGACCAGAGCTGAACAGACCAGATTTGCATCCGACTGGTCTCTCGCAGGTGTGTATCGTATCCTCAGACACATCAATAAAACACCAGCTTCGTTGACCAGTGGTTACGGATAGTGGTTAGGGATGATCCTACCTTGCCAGGCCCTTTGCTGAAAAGACTGCTTGTAGCATCAGGTCAGGCACCAAAGTTCAGGTTTACGCCAGAAGCCGGTAGAGATGATTTTCTATCTCGAACCGACATCAAGCCAATACGACGACATGCGTGTATTTTCCGTATTGCGAAACATGACAAACTTCAGCACACCCCAAAGAAGCCACTATCTCTGAAGCAGATCCCAACATGGATCACCGAATTGAACCAGAAAGGTGCAGACAAACTCTTCAGTGCTGAGCTTTGGATTGGTGAGAACATCATGGCTCTGCGGGTAGGCAAACAAGCTGTCGAGTCATCGCTTCTGCCGTAAGGATGATGCTTGGTAACAACTATATAGTGACAACAGTCCAAAAGGGGTTTCCTTGTTGTTGTCAAGGTAATAAACATATTATTTGATTCCCAAACTGTCATCGGCGCTTCATCGGCACAGAACAACACCGTGGCCAGTGGTCAGTCACGGGCTGCCAAGCAAGCACAATTGCAGAGATTTTCTTTCTTTGTGTAGGTTGTATGTATGTCTGTGTTTGCTTACTCAGGCAAGCCTCAATCATAATCTTCCGTAAGTCTGAAAGCCCAATCAAATTTGCTGTTGATTGTGAGGAGTTGGCGCTAGTGCAATCCATTTCTGGAGCAGCGTTTGAAGCTTGGAATCGGATCGTTAGTCCAACAGAGACCTGTCTGTTCAATGTCGTCTTCCTCAGGCAGCAGTACAACGACCTTCTTCCAGCCGATTCTCCGCAAAGGATCCGAGTTGGGGACGTTGTTGCAAAGGCTGTGCCGTGCTGCCGACCGCCTAACCTTTCCTACAGCGCTCATATCCCGGCAGGTTGATGGCCAGAGTGGAAAGCAAATCATGGATGACGACCGCTTAGTTTTGGTTCTGCCAAGATTTAGATTTGTTTGTCTTGCTGTGTCTGCCGTGTATCTTTGCTTCACACATGCAGTGACTTTCCTTCCCAGCCTTGATTGCAGCTTTCCCTCCTTCTCTCTCACTTTGTTGAGATCAGGCGCTCTCTCGCACGAGCGAAAAGCTCGTCGATATCGAAATGCGCCGATCTGGTTTGCCCTTGGCCAAGCCTTTTGGCTTCTGATTTGCTCTGTCAATTCACACTTCGAACTCAAGGCCAAATTTTTTGATGTGGCTTCGGAGCAGCTCAAGGTTCGGTGACAAGGTCAAATTGCAACCTTGCCAAGCCTGAATCCGTGTTTTGGAATGACAGTTTACAATTTGCGAAGGCCCGGAGCTATTGAAACAATATTGACTGCACCCGGCTTCAAACGTTAATGACTCAATTGCCCTGTCAAAGATAAAGTCGATCCAACTTCTTTGGCTTGAGGCTGGTCGAAGTTGACATCTCAACTGGGTACACTAGGCTGGGAATATACCAAAAGTTGCAAGCAATCTATACAGGAACAAGAAGTTACTAGTAAACGGCATCGCTACTAGGAGCAAGGACGCTACTAGGGGCTCCCGGCCTTACTACTAGTAACAATAAAGCTACTATTTTTTCTTATTCCTCAAACAGTGTGGACACACTTAGGGGTTCTTACGGTAGGTGTAAAGCAGCTGATGCTTAGATCGCTGAAGCACGCGGGCGTGTGCGGCTAATTCGCTGCTATTTACAGTACATTCATACCTTTCAAAATCGTCCAGGTGGATTTCGACTGCGCAGGCTCGCAGAATCTGGGTGTCTGCGGCGGGTGCTTCTAACGACGGTGAAAACCAAGATGACATGAGCACGCATACATGAGACCTCACTGTTTTCCCAGCAAGGTTCCAGCATTCGACCGCCATCAACCGATGGCTCAAGCGCGCGGCAAAACAGCTTGCCTTCGACTTGCTGCGTAAGTCCAGTTTTCATACTGGCAGCGGAGCCCTTTGTGGCATCCCTACCTAGCTTTTTTAGCTCTCGCGCCCGCTTCGATGTCGGCTCTGCTTGAGACCTTGCGCTTCGATGGTGACACTTCAAGCTCGGTGAATGCCACCTCCATGAACGACAGCTTCGACACGGAGGGCAAGTACGGCATCCCCAGGTTCAGCGGAGAACCCACGCTCCTGCCCGAGTACCAGTTCCGAGTCAAGATGAAGATCCAAAAGGAAAAGGGCATGGAGGAGTCAGAGCTCAAGAAATTGGGCCCATTAGGCCTCCGGCCAGGCCTTGAAATTGGCCCAGCAGTTGAAGCCTGAGGAACTTGCCAAGCCCTCAGGAGCCGACGCCCTCCTCAAGATCTTCAACGACACCCTCAAGCCTCGAGCGTCGCAGGAGGCCCGTGAACTGTATGCTGCAGGTTCACGGGAAGGTGGCATCTTGGCACGCCAGCTAAGTGAGAGCATGGCTAGCTACATCACCCGCCGCCGTGGGTGGTGGATTGCACTTCAGAACCTGGACGACTCCATCCACGTCCCTGAGTCAATCTTAGCGGAACAGCTGCTCTCCAATGCCCAGATCACAGATAATCAACGCCTCATGGTGAGGACGATGTTCCAAGGTGTTATGACCTTTGACAAGGTCGCTGAAGAACTACTAGCTCAACACCCTCGCATCCAACGAATTTGAGCGCTGTGGACATGGCAAGGGTGGCTTTGGAGGGAACAGGTCATGGCAAAAGCACCATCATCAGCGACCTCAACAGCACTTCAAGAGCTTCCATGCAGATGATGCTGATGAATGGGATTCCCAAGACCTGACCGGCTTCGATCTCGAGACTGAAGAAGTCTGTCGATGATGAGGGTGAGAGCTTCATGGAAGAGCGCATTGCCTACCTCATTGAGAACGGCGTGGACATGGACAATGAGGAGGCCTGTGCCTTGACGGCTGAGACCATCCAGCTTGAGTATGAGGCGTACAACGTCCGCCAACAGGCCAATGGAAAAGGCTATGGAGGTTTCCAGCCAAAGCAGTTCGACGTCTCAGGACAGCTCTCCTTTCAGGAGAGGAAAGCTCGCCTCCAGCAGCTGAAGAGTCGAACTGAATGTCGATGCCATCAACGTGGTCACTGGTCAGGGGATCCACAATGCCCCAAAGGCGGAAGAAAGGGTTCCCTTCATCAAGACCCCCGTCTATGGCATCCACTACGGCGACCGCCAAGGGCAGCAAGAGTGGCAAAGGAAGTGGCTCTTCGGGGAAGTCAAAACCCCGTGTTGTGTACTTCAGTATGCATGAGAAAAAGGAGATTGCCACGGATCCAGGGCCTTCAACAACGGCAGAGCCTTGGTGTGGTATGGCACTTCGAGAAGAGCGCGTCCCACAGCCATCAATTTTGAGCACACCACCAAGGACACCATCGAGCCCAACGCCGGGCAGCTTCCGTGGTTCCCCAAAGGCGGCGCCGACTCATCCTTCTGTCATGGATGCTATGGCGTTGACGTCATCTTTGGTACCTCAACTTCGCTTTGGAGGACCTCGTAATGATCACGCGCAAGGCGATTTGCAAGAGCCAGCCGCACGTGCACTCGTGAACCTCGCGCTGGAGTTGGTCAGGGCTGAGACCGCTGGCTGCATCTTGACGCAAGATGAACTTGATGAACGAGCTCTTTGGGAAGCTCTTCATTGTGTGGCTGACCTCGAGCACATGGACGTTGACGGCTATGAGCCCAGCCTTGCTCCTTCCGACGCTGGCTTTGAGTTGGTTGCCCACGCTCCAGATCTACAAGGCTATCAACATCATCATGGAGTACCGCCTCAACAAGAAAGTGAAAAGGCACCAACGGCATCCAGTGCCAAACAAGATACTTGCCAGCGCCTTCGCGCGACACGGAAGGGCGCAAACAAGTACTATGAGCAAGTCACCTGCCTGGACTGCAACAAGGTTCTCGTAAAAAGGGGCCAAAATCACAAGGTGGTCCGACCACCTCGAAGACCTCCGCTACCACGACACCTACTGAGCAGCAACAGCAGTGTGCACACAACCGCATCACCTGGCGTGGAAGCAATGGCCATCAGACCAGGAGGACTTGCCTTGATTGCGGCCTCGTCCGCATTGGACATCCAGAATCCACTTCGATGAGCGCGCCAAGACCTACAAGTTCGGTCCCAGAAGCTGGTGTCATGAGTTTCACTCCCTCTGTCGCTCAGGCTATCTTCAAGATGCGCAGCATGATGGCAATGGTCAAGAGCAATGAGACTGGCCGCGACCTCTCAGAAGATGACCTCCAAAGGATCCTCAAGGCGGCAGTCATGACCAGCTATCAATGGCCTGACTATCAGACAAGGGACAGTTTCACCGATTCTATGCCTGCGCAATTTTCCTCTCCACCAGTTCGAACTGGAACGCCCTCAGCCTTTTCGCCTGGACCAGCGCTTGATGGAGACATACGTCGCCGGAAGATCCTGAACTTTGGCAAGTACAAGGGCTACTCCTACGAGAGAGCCTACCGGGACAGCAGCTATGATATGTCGCCTGGGTGCTGGGAGAGCAAACAGAGGACACTAACCCGTCCTTCCGTCACTTGGGCCGATACTTTGAAGACAGGCGCTTTGCTGAGCAGTCAGGCACAGTCTTTATGGCTACCAAGACCATCGACCTCACAGTCAGTGATGAGGAAAACCATGATCCAAGCTCTTCAGAAAATGATCTCATCGCCATTCTGGACTCTGGTCGCAATAAGACTTGCCATGGAGATCAATGGCTTCTTCGTTATGCCAAGGCAGTCGGCGCAGAAGTCTCAAACTTCAACTTGGAAGAGGAGACCGGCGCCTTCAAGGGTATTGGCGGATCTGTCAAGGTGGCTGGCGTTCGCAATTTGAAGGTCGGCTTCGAGTTGCCTGGTGATGGAGTTGCCATCGGAGACATTGATTCCAGAGCTCAAGGACAGCCAAGCACCACTTCTCCTCAGCATTGGCGACCAAAAGAAGCTTGGCTTGTGCATTGAACTTGGAGCTGAAGCACCGGACTATGTCTTCAGCCGAGCACTCAACTGCCTGTTGAAGATTGCGGAAGTCAATGGGCCTTCGCCTCTTGCCATCACATGTGGCTATGTTCAGTGATGCACATCGACCTGATGAAGAACCACATCCTCCTCCTGATTCACCAACGGGGAGCACTGAGGCGGCAGATTCCGAATGGATCCCAACTTCTCCGACAAGCTATCCAGAGACTGAGAATGAAACCTCTCCGGGTGAAGAGTACTCTGAGTCTTATATTCCCCTGGATGAGCAGATCAGCAAAACCATGACCCGAGGCCAGAAACGACAACTTGAACAAGATCTTCATGAAGTACGAGCGCATGATGAATGCCTCTGGGGAACACTCAAAGAAGGAAAACGGGCAAAGCCTCTGCCCCGAGGACGCACGACATATTTTTATGGAGATCTTCGCTGGAGCAGCTCTTCTGACCACCATTGCAAGCTCCATGGGCTATGCCGTGAGCACTCCAGTGGATCTCGTCCTTGACGGCAGCAACATCTTGGACCCAAAGGTTCAAAGTGAGTTGGATGTGAAGAAATTGCCCGACATGATCCTTACATCCTCACCTTTGCTCCGATCTGTGGTCCATGGTGTGCCTGGCAGCATGTGAACCGCTCCAAGTCACCGGAGACGGCTGCCAAGTTTGATGCTGACCGTGATCTATGGTACCCTGCTTTACGCTGGATCACCCGGACTATACGCTCGAGATTGGCAAAGGGGAGAAAAGTCCTCGTGGAAAACCCATGGCGCTCTGAGCTGTGGATCACTCTCTGCTTCCGCAAGCTCATGGAAGCAGAGCTCATCGACCAGGAGTCCGGCAACTACCTGGAGATTGTCCGAGGACCTCGAGGAGACAATGCCAGTTTGGCCTCATCGACGAAACCAATGGCTACCCTCACATGAAGCCCATAGGTTTCCTCACAGCCTCCGACCCCGTGAAGGAGGAGCTCACCAAGCTTTGTCCAAAGGACCACACTCACTCTCCATTGGAAGGAGGCTCAAAGACCAAGCGAGCTCAGGTGTGGCCAAGGAAGCTTTGTCAAGCCATCTGGAAGGGCTTCATTCGTGAGCTTGAAGAAAGAAGCATCAGTGCGGCCTTTGCCGGTGAGTTCAAAGAAGAACTTGATGATGAAGAAGAAGAAGAAGCGCCACTTGGGCACTTCGATGCTGTCTGTGATGAAAAGGACCTCTCCAAGACTGTCAAAGCCACTCACAAGACCACCGAGGAGGAGATCCAAAGAATGGAAAGCATTGAAGAAGACCCACTGTTGGGAGACTCAACTTCAGTGGAGGCAAGACGGCAGAAATGGCTCCGGGCAGATCGAGCAACCCGTGTTGCACTTCGAAGGCTGCGCTCCATGACTGGCCACAGCAGCACTACTGCGTGATCCAACTTCTTCGCGCAGCAGGTGCAGCACCAACAACATTGGAAGCCGCTCGACACTTTGCCTGCGAGACCTGCCAG